CAAAAAATGCAACGGAGGAAAACATGGCATACTTTATTACACTGTGATGAAGTAATACATCACAGCTATGCAAGTCAATGGAACACAAAACATACTGTGAGACATACCAACACAAAATCATCAACACAAAACAGAAGCAACGCAATTCAGAAAACAATCAGCTACACAATATACCCCAATGTAACATTAAGTAAAATAATCATAACACAGCAGACGATACACAAACACAACACAGCTGTAAAAAAAAACAATAACATACAAATCAGAGAACACAAGAAGGCACTTGAAAACAGGCCATCAGCACACTCACACAGAGTTTTAGGTTAGTGGGTCCAAGACTGCAAACCTTACTTAAGGAAAAAGGATCTTGGCGAAATCTGGGACCCACATCAATCAAATAATTGCTGCAGCATATGGGTGCTTGGCCAGCCTAAGAATAGCGTTTCGCCACATGAGTAAGGATTTATTCAAGACTCTGTACACCGTATATTTCAGGCCCGTACTGGAGTATGCAACACCAGTGTAGAAACCCACACCTGATCAAGCGAGTCAAGAAATTAGAGAAAGTGCCAAGGTTTGCAACAAGACTAGTCCCGGAGCTAAGGGGCATGTCCTACGAAAACATGCCCCTTAGCGGACCTAGTAGTGACCAGCGAAGAGGCGGGGCCAGGGGCTGTGAATCGACGCCCGCAACCACAACTAGGGAACTACTCACACACACACACACACACACACACACACACACACACACACACACACACACACACACCAGTACCACCACAGATTCGATCTGGGTCACCTGCCACGCCCCCCAACCAAGACCTCGTCGTCCTCAACTACACCATGAGTCTTTGTCAGTCTTTTTCTCTTATTATTGGAGTGTTTTTATGTGTAACCAAAATGAATAAATTCTATAAATTCTACAAATTATCACTAAAGTAAATTATTCTTCTCCTTCTTCTTCTTCTTCTTCTTCTTCTTCTTCTTCTTCTTCTTCTTCTTCTTCTTCTTCTTCTTCTTCTTCTTCTTCTTCTTCTTCTTCTTCTACTTCTTCTTCTTCTTCTTCTTCTTCTTCTTCTTCTTCTTCTTCTTCTTCTTCTTCTTCTTCTTCTTCTTCTTCTTCTTCTTCTTCTTCTTCTTCTTCTTCTTCTTCTTCTTCTTATTATTATTATTATTATTATTATTATTATTATTATTATTATTTGTTTTATTACTTACGATGATGTTCTTCAAGCACAGTAATGTTAACTGAAGCTTTTGTTGACGTCTAACGTTGTTGAAATGGGGAATAAATAATCCTTCAGTGGCAAGAATTTTGTATTTTCTGAAACACTTTCACTTCTCTGCTTTTGTAAGGAGATTACATTTAAGGGAAATTTTATATTTAAAAAAGACACTAAATTTCTGTTTTTTTTTATTTTCCCGTTTCTCGGCTTGATGGTTTAATGTTTGGGTTCTACAAATGATGGAACGACGTCGATATGCTTGGTTATTACTGTCACTTAAATCACTCATTGATTAATATTCCAGGTTTGTGAAGGTGGGTGGAAGGGAAATTTTAAAGGGGACTGGCGGGGGAATTTTTTGGGGGTTTTGGGGGGCGGCAGGAGGCGCACCATAGGTGTGGGCTGCCCCACACTAAATCTGTTTCCCGCCTTCCACTATCTCACTAAGCACTCTTTAAATCCCAGGGCGCACCTTACTTTTAGTGGCGCAGATAGAGGCGGTTGAAGTCACACGGCCCCATCGGGGAGTTTTTCAACAAAGTTTGGCATCTGCTGGCAGGGGTTGCGTGTAGAGTGCCCACCCCCCCTGGCTCTTGCTTTCGTTCACTACCCTAAAAAAACCTTATCTCCAACTTTAAACAACAAATTCCCACCACTTTTGCCCTCTTCACCCTCTTGTCACTAAGCTCCCTATGCAGGCTTTAGTGAAGCTTCGTTTTAAGTGGTTGTTTTAAGGGCGAGCACCCCCAAAAAGGAAGCGAATTTTTGAAAATTAGTTCGTGGGTAGGAAAAGTGGCGTGGTGGGGCACACTCAACAATATGCCCCCCTGCACCCGTCCCCAAATAAAGGGAAAAAAGCTCTTTTTCCCGGGGTTAGGAGGAAATTGGCCCTTTGGGAAATTTTTAAGGAAAAAATCGTCAGGAATGGAAAATGGAACAACCGTAAAGGGGAAATTTTTGCAAGGACATGCCCCTTTCCCTCTCCGGGCCAGCATATTGTTGAGATACCCTTGGTTGCATGAAGGGTTTATTTTTTTTTTAGCAAGTATGGGGGTAAATTTAGCATAAAGACATCACGAGGAAATGATGTTTTCCCTCGTTGCTGTTGTTTTTTTCACGACTCACCCCCAGTTTTTGTACAAAGCGCAAAATGTGATGCATGACTCGTTGATGGAACCCCACCCTTTTTACAACTCGGGAAAAACGTGTGACATTTTTTCTAAACACTAGCACTTTTTCTGAACCAAACCGCTTTACTAACCCCAGCAATTTACTGAATCACCACAGTTGTCTAAAAACCAGTAACTGTAAAACGTCGAAATTGTTGTAAACATCACAATTGTAGCCCCAAAAAAAATTTTTCAGAAAACCAAAAATTACTTGTAACCCCAACGTTCATCGTTTGTTATTGACGATGCTAAGTAAGGGTAAATTTAAAACCTCCATTTTTTTTTTGACCCACCAGTAAAAGAATACTTTTATCCCAAAAGATAGGGATTAAAATTTCGGTGTATTTCACGAGGTTACACACATTTTGGTGTTATACCCCCCGTGTCGCCTCATTTCTATACACATACAAGTGTTATTTAACAGTTTGTATATAACATAAATCACCCCCAAAATTTTAATTATAAATTCAACACAGTCATTTAAAATTCCGCACAAGTTCCAAATACTTTTTTTTCTCCCCAAAACCCACTAGCCTTTTTTGTCTCTCACGCAATTATCTAACCACACCCCTTCGAATATAAAAAAGCCTTTTTTACTCACTTTTTCCGAAAATAGAAAAACACACACTGGCAACCGAGGCGCTCTGGGCACAGTCCCTTTTGTCAGTAGTGAGTAAGGAACCCTCAGCTTCTTCTCTCTCAGTAACCTCCCCCATAATGTCTCCTTGAAACCCCTCCCTTTCGAGAGATTTCTCTGCCCCCCCGCCTCAAAAACCCTTTACGATTAGCAGCTTGAGCTTTTAGGTGTGGTAGGGGGGTGAGGGAGGGGGGGTTTTGAGAGGGGGGGTGTGGGTGAGAGCTCGTCAGAGGGCGCCCCTGGGAGCTCTGCCAACCAACTATGTTTGGGGATAAATTAGGAGACTTAAAAAGTTATGAGTCCGGGCTTTTAGAATATTTTTTTAACTTTTAATTAATTTTCATCTTTTTTTTTTTATCATGGCTCTTTGATGAGGGTTTAGGACGGTTATTTTTTTAAATTTTTATTATTATTTTATTATTATTATTAATTTATTATTATTATTATTTTTTTTATTTTTTTATTATTTTTATTATTTTATTATTTTTTATTATTATTATTTTATTATTATTAATTATTATTTAAAAAAATTTTTAAAATTAAATTTTTTATTTTTATTAAATTAATTTTATTATTATTATTTATTTTAATTTTTTAAATTTTTTATTAATTTTATTATTATTATTTTAATATTAATTATTATTTTGTTATTATTATTATTGTTTTTAATTTTATTTTTATTATTTTATTTTTTTTATTTTTATTATTAATTATTATTATTATTATTATTTTTATTATTATTATTATTATTATTATTGTGATTTTTTTTATTATTATTATTGTGTTTATTTTTATTTTATTATTGAATTATTATTATTTTATTTTTTATTATTTGGAAGATATCGTTTCGATGATGGATTTTAACTTCCTCCGGGCGGGGGGACTGACCCCTCAAATGTTTTTTTCTGGATAAAAGGGTTGATGGAATGATTATAAACATTTTTATTTCACTACCATGCCCTTTGTAGGGGACTGAAAAGTCACTGTGTAGGCGAAACTTTATCAATAAATTACCAAAACTGTTGCTCGATTTTTTGGGCCGTCTAACCCGGGCCTTTACTGGCTAACCAGTCCACCCCCTTTACAAAAAAAGCTGTCATAGACAGAAATATATCCCTCTCTGTGTGTATTCCTGCTTGTAGATGATGGTTGAAAACCCCGATATTGAAAATTAGATACATGCGAAACTTTTGGGTAGGGTTTAAAGCCTTTTCCACCTTATGCTGATTCATTAAAGTTTGATGGACTGACCACGTCGATCAAATTTCGGGGACTGATTCCCCTCATTCTCCCCTGTTCTTCAAGATTTCCTTTGATGGATGAGACCCACTGTTGGCAAATTTTCCCTAAAAAAAAGATACCCAAGAGTTGCACATGTGTCAAATTTTTACTACATACACTGCTCCCCGGGCAAAACACACCTCCCAACCCACATCTAAATAGTTACTCCCAGAATATATAAAGTATGTACTTGGTAGGGGGGGTTTGACTTGGACCTGCCTAGCATAGGCAGTGGCCTACTGCTGTGCCCCTTTCTTTCTATGTTCTTATATCCAGTTAATCGACCCTCACGCAATCGGTAGTAATAAGTAACTTAGATACAATAAAAGGTCACATAAATTATCATACATAGACATATTTATGTTTACCTAAGAAAACCCCAAAAATAACTTAGCGGGGAAAAATTTATTTCGGTTTAAATTCGGGTTGTTTTGGGGAATGGGTAGTTTTGATAAGGGTTTTGCCATGTAGGGGTCAGTGGCCCCTTCTGCGTGTTCCTCCTTTCTTATGTTTATAATAAATTTCTCAACGGGGGAACACCAAGCCTTGGGGGAGCTCGTCAAAGGGGTCCCGCCATGAAAACAAAAGAAAACACGATAACCCAGACATAAAACGAGATCCCGGAGGATGAGGGCCCAGGAGATCATTATAACTCTGGTATTAAATTATACACTAGGGAAATTGAAAATCCGTATTTCCCCATGGAAATTTCCCATTAGTATACCAAGTAGGTAAAATTATCACTGAACCATCCCCCCGGCCGGGATTAAACCCCGCGGCATAGGTTCAAAACCCAGCCCGTTCTTACGTTTTGAGTATTCTAGCTGTATTGAACATGGATGGTTAACGGGTTTTCACAGGGAAAAGGGTCGTAACTTTAAGGAAACTTTTTATCCCCAGTAAAGATATTTTAATCACTAAAAATTGTATTATATAAACACAAAAAAAACCCGCATATAGGAGGGGAAAAGAAATGGGATGGGATCCCGAGAGAGAGAAGCTTAGGGAAAACTTTTCGCCCGACTTGGCCATTGAGTGTGATTTTGTAAAGGGCCCAGGTCGGACGAACGTAGTCGTAAGCTTCTTTTTCCCTATGGGTTTATTTGGTATTTTTCCCAGTCACGGCATTGTGCCTTTTTGAGCTCTTTTCTCTCTCTCTCTCTTCAAATTTAAAATTTCGTGTGTTCGACTTATTGTTTTGCTATAGTAAATTTCCCTTTTCGTTTGCCTTTTAATTATTTGTTTTTTGTTGTGTGGTGTGTGGGGTTGGGGTTTGTGTGTGTGTGGTTGTGTGTGTGTGTGGTGTGTGTGGTGTGTGTGTGTTGTGTGTTTGTGTGTGTGTGTGGTGTGGTGTGTGTGTTGGTGTACTTCCCTATTTGTGGTTGCTGAGTCGAGACTCAGTTCCTGGCCCCACCTCTTCATGATCGCTACAGGTCCTCTTTTTTCCCTGCTCCTTGGCTTTTATCTACCTGTTTTAAAGTATGTATGTTTCCTGCCTCCAAACCTCACTTTCCGATTATTCCACTGCCTGACAACTTTGTGACGAAGAAATATTCCTAACACCCTTTGACTCATCGAGTTTTCATTCCCAATTGTGTCCCCTTGTTTCGTGTCCCATCTCTGGAACCCCTGTCTCTGTCCACTTTACCTATTCCTCGCAATTTTTGTATGTCCGTTTCAGTCCCCCTAATCCTCCTGTCCTCCTGTCGACAGGCCTATTTCCCTTTAAAACCTTTCTTTGTAGGAAATTTTTCCTTAGCCTGGAACCCCCTTTGTTGCAAACCTTTGCACTTTCTTAATTTCTTGATGTGTGTGTGTGGTTTTGGGTGTGTGTGTGTGTGTGTGTTGTGTGTGTGTGTGGTGTGTGTGTGTGTGTGTGTGTGTGTTGTGTGTTGTGTGTGTGTGTGTGTTGTGTGTGTGTTGTTTGTTTTATCTAAGAGTTATCAGTAGTTCTTAAGGTTTAGAATATTTAATTTAGGGTAGTACTAAGGCTGTAAGTATGTATCAAAACGCTGCGTTCACCTATCACAGTTAGGAACCCTTTAAATTGTCCACAATAAAAGTTACGAAAATTTTCAGCGAATTTTACCTGAAGATATGCCCCTCTTGTTGCATAAAAGTTTTTGCACTCTTAATTTGCATTTTTAAGGCGGAAATTCGCTCGTAGAACTCCCCCGTTTTTTACGGGGGGAAAAAAGGGGTAGTTAAATTTGGAAAACGAGTTAAAAATTGCTAGATTTTTTCGA